CCGACCCTGACGTCTCTTTGCTCCCAGCCGTTCAGAATGAATATTTATTGATGTCTTTATCTTGGACATCGTGAAGCATTCCCCGAACGGAGATCGACCCATTTACACATCACAAGCTCTCTTCCTTCTTGAACCAGGCTCGCCATCTCTGCCGTCAATTTTCGATGAATCGTTATGTCTCTGGTTCTCCGATTCCCCCCTGTCCCTACTTCTCTCCCTCCCTTTCTCCCTACCCTCTTCCCGTTCCCAATCCCTATCCTCCCACCTGTGATTATGGTCCCTTCCCTCCCTGCTGGCCTCACTGCTCCCTCTGCCACCATGGTTGTCCACCGGACAGACAACGACCACTGCATTTCGTGCCGCCAGCTCTTCTTTGACGCGTTTGTCGCGCGATCCGTCTGGGTCCGATGTGTCATGCCTTCTGTCGCCATGGGCTCCACCTGCATCCCCTACCACTTTCCCAGGGCTGGCCCTCTTCACAATGCTCTTCAATGCAAATTCCCCGCATTCACTGCCGCCATGCTGCTCCCGACCACGACTACCACTCCTGCTCCTATCTGACCGGAACAGCCCATGTCTGCCTCCTGGGCTTTGCCTTCCTTTTCGGGGAGGTGACGAGCATACCTCGGCAAGCAGCTTGCGATCCCGTTCGTCAGTGAGTGCGGACCCATGCACCACGTGTGGTAATGTCCGCGTTGCCAAAGGAGGGCTGAGCGTTCTCCTCATAAGTGCCACCCTCTCCCATTCCCAATTGTGCTCCCTCTCTCGATCTCGTTCCCCATCCCTCTCCTTTTCTCTGTCCCTCTCCCCGCGCTCCCTGTCTATCCCCTCCCTTTGGCGTGCCTGTAACCGTCTCAGGCCTGCTGGGGGGGAGCGCTGACTTCGAGGGGGTGGAGGAGGTAAGGGCAACTTCGGAGGGACGGGCATCATGCGACTCAGGCCTCCTCCCGACCCAGTTCCTATGCCCTCCCTGAAATCGCCGCGCCTGTTCATTGCCAAGGGTGACCTGCTATGCCTCCGCGCATGCCCTGCACCTCCATTCCCACTGCCGCAGCTCATCCGAGACGGTGTCCGCCCATGAGGAGACCTTGACCGTGACCCCGACCTTGAACGGGACCTTGAGAGCGACCTCGATCGAACCCCTGACCTAGACCTTGAGCGCGAACGTGATCGAGACCTCCACCTGGCAGGGGAGCCTCTGGTGTGACGTGTTGATGGAGGGGAGACACTGTGACTGTGCTGCAATCTGTGCCGGCTTCCTATCCTCCCCATTCTGCCCCCACGACCACCAAGACCTCCTCGGATTCCAAATGGCACAAACGGCTCAACGATCCTCCCCCCTCTTCCGCCTCTCATTCCAGGACCCATCGCCACTCCCATTCCCATCCCCATTCCCATACCAAGGCCAATACCCATGCCCATCCCAGGCCCCACACCCATTCCAAGTCCCATACCTGGGCCCACACCCATGCCCATCCTCATAGCCATTCCCATATTCATTCCCAGTCCCATATTGAGCCCGAGTCCCATTCCCAACCCTGCTCCCCTTCCCCTGCCCATCCCACCAAACCCCCCCATGTTTCTTCCAATTCTCCCTCCTCTGAGGTGTGTGCCGCTTCCTCCTCGGATTCCAAGATCTCCCCCCCCAAGGGTCCCAGCCTTCGTGATGGTTCCATCCGCTGCCACCACAAAATGGCCTGTGCTTTCCACCTTTGCAGCTGCTGCAGCCGCCGCATTCCTCGCAGGAGAAGCCCCCCTTCCATACACCGACGACGACTCTCGACTCAAGGAAGGCCTCCCTGCTGGAGGGGTAATTGGTCTCCCTGCTGCCCAGTTTGCTTCCCCCCGCATTACCTCTCCCCTACTTCTCGCTCTGCCCCTGCTCCAGTGTGCGCATCCATCCACTTGCACTGTCGATAGCCCACTCCCGTTCTCCCGCACCGCATGTCCTGGTCCCATCTCTGCCCCATTGTCATCTCTGCACCAATGTTTCCACAACATGTCAGAAGCAGAGGTCACAGTCCGTTAGGAACCTCCGGGAGTTCATCACAACCCATTTTATTCACTGACCCACCCACCCTGTGTACTGGCAATTCATACACCATGCACCGAGTATACATACCACCACCACCCACCCTCTTCATCAGTTCGGTATACATCCTGCCAAAAAGCAATCCCCACTGCTGTTCTAGATTCCACCTGCGGATAGTCAGACTGCTGAAGCCCCCCACCAGACCCTAAATCCATAAGAAACTTAATAACGACCTCGTATCACCGGAAAAGACCTTCCTTATATGCATCCCGAAAAATGGCACAACTTCAACCTTTCTCGCACAAACAGTTTTGACGGCGGTAACTTGATGGATTTACAATTATATACCTGAAGGACAAACAGTTTTGACGGAGGTAACTTGATGGACAAACAAACATTCATAATAACAATTCAAGCGAATCATTCAAGTTGTGCCGAGAAGGAAAGAGAGATGTAAAGTCATTCGGCCTCGCTCCACTACAAAATACTTCACATGCATTTGGACGCTTTCTGTACCTCACACATTCAAAATGTTGTACTCGTCCAAATGCACCTGTGCCCAAATGCAAGTAGAGTGTTGTCTAGCGGAGCTGGTCCCGAAGCCTTCAAATGCAAATTTTGTGTCCTGTAGTGGAGCGAGGCCCATTATTCGAGAACAATCATGCAGTTTTCAGGCGGCATAAGACAGTAAGTCCCAGGCAGCCAGTCTGAGCCAGGCCTTCACAGCACTGTCAACGAGGGCATAACTCTGCCGGTCAGGTCTATGATCAGTGCACACCATTTCTATTTTATTCAGTGCGGCATACCCCGACGGCCGGCGCCCTTGACTGGTCGGCACCTACCGGTCGGGGGGCATCAGCACCCCGCAAAAGAGTTTCGTTTTGTTTTTTTGGTTCCAGAACCCCCAATANGACGGAGGCTACATGGGGGGAGAAGAGAGTCGAGGTGGCAGCTGGTCAGGGCGGCCAAGGAAGAGCGGAGGGGAGAAGGGGAGGCGCTGTAGTGGAATAGGGCTGCGGAGGAGATGAGGAGGAACGGTGGAAGGGGGGGGCTGGGTGGTTGGAGGAGTCGGGTGGCGTAGGAGCAGCGGAGGGCGAACGAAGACAGCGGAGCGGGGAGGGAAGTGGTTTGGGGAGGGAGCCATGCCACTGACCTGAGGGTTCCATCTTGCAGCAGCATTCAGTTGATGACAACTACTCCACCGCACCTCAATCTTGGCCCACCACAGCTCACGGCGGCAGCTGGCCAACCTTAGGTGAGAGGGAGACATGGATGGTGTGTGTGCGTGTGTGTTTGTGTTGTCATGTTTGCTATACAACATTAAAATAGCATGACTGTGGCAGACTGTTTCGTCGGGCTTTCACCGACTCATCAGGAGGTTGAACCCCGACAGTCTGCCCAGAGTGAAAGAGAGAAGCAGCGAGTGAGAGAGAGAGTTGGGCGCTGCGCACCAAGGTCCACAACAGCAAGCAGGGCATACACAACATGGCCCAAGGCAGTACCCAGCACGTACTACGGCAAACAACATGAACGTGTCGGCGCAAAACTCAAGAAAATATGGCGCGATGTGGTTGGAACCGACAAAGGCAAAGTGAGGTACCCAAAGCGAGGTACCCAAAGTTGCCTGCGAACTGGGCCGTCGGGCCGTTCGCCCCGAGGTACTGGGCCGACGGCCTGGATCTACGCACACGGCACTTGACTCCGGTAATACTCCACGGGACTCCACGGCGCGTCTATCTGCAAAAGGCGCTCCGCGCTGTGTCTGTCTGAGCCATCGGTACGGACCGACGGCCTGGATCTCGGCGCGGTCCTAAGATCTTAAGACCGCATCTATCCAGGCCGTCAGTCTGGTAGGACCCGACAGCCCAGATGGCAGATTTGTTACTTGGTTAGGTGGATCTGGGTCGTGGGCCGGTAGGACCGACGACGGCCCGGATTTCAGATTTGTCACATTAGCGATTTTAATAGTGTAGGGATGCACTTAAAAAGTTTTACAGGGGGGTAGGAAGGAGGGAAAAGCGAGGGAAGCTGGGTGGGGGGGGGGAAGAGAGGGAGGAGAAACAGGGGAAAGAGAAACCACATTGGGTCCTCAATACTCACCGGCAGAGCCGGCTGCTAGAGACTGGCACAAGAGGCCAGTCGGGGGTCGGGTTAAAGAGAAAAATGAGCTGAGCAGGCATTGCCTATGGTAAGTGGCCACCCCTGCAGACCAGAGAGGACAGGCTCGGGTGTGGCCAGTGGAAGCACCACATCCAATTCTCGTACTTGCAGGCACTCATCAGAATGGCTCAGCGCCAACAGATGTTATAGGTAACCTGGTTCACACATGCTAGCAACACAGAGGCAAAGTGACTGCAGTTGCACAGGCACTGACGTTCCAGCCCCTTTTTACAAATAGGGCATGCCATGTGAGGATGTCGTACATGAGTACAATATTGAATGTCATCATGGTACGAAAACAAAAACTTTCATGGGCTACACCCTCATAATGCTCACGGCAAAAAGAATGTTGATCACATGCTAGCCGGACATCAGATGGGTCATCACAGTGCTTCCCTGAGCAAGTTTTTTTGCTTCCCTGTCTATGGCATTCAGAACAGTGTTGCATACCCCGACGGTCGGCGACCCTTGACTGGTGGGATGCCGACCAGTCAACCGGTTGGCTGGTCAGCACCTACCGGTCGGGGGTCGTAGGCAGACTCGGCACCCTGCAATTTTTTTTTTACTTTTCTTTTTGTGTGGATCTAGAACCCCTAATAACTCCACCAACACCCCCATGCTCGCCCCCAATACCCCACACACACCCCAACACCCCCAAACCGCCCCCCAACACCCTCATAAACCCCCCCAAATACCCCCTATACCACCCCTATATCTCCCTATACTCCTCCCCCCCCATACCCCCCCTCATCCCCAAAAGTTTCTCAGCGGATTTGGGCTGTACTCAGCAAGCGCAGTACAGCCCCCAACTCAGATTTGGAAAAAAAACAGTGGATGGCTGTTTTCTGACTGGTCGGCAGACCGCCAACCGGTCGGCTGCAAAACGGTCGGCAGTCGGCAGCAGGTATGCAACCCTGATTCTATTTCAGTTAACGGACACCATACATACATTAGTTTTGAGTGCATGTTTTGGTGCAAAATCATCAAATGGCAATCTCAAAACCAGATACCCCGCCGATCAAGACGAGTGCAAGGCTGGCCAAGTCTGTGGTCAAGTGCTTGGTGCCCGCACACCTGTCTGCCTGGAAGGCACACCTACACATCATTGAAAAAAGGGGGGCAGGCAGGAAAGAACCAACCTGCATCTGACAAAAAAGTTCACAAATCCATAAGTATATGTGTGCATTCTACGACAACATTTAGCAGTTCTTCGGGACATCCATTGTGATTGAAACAATACACAGAAGATTTGCATGGCCCCTGTGTCAGGGATGACACACATAAATCGAGAAATGCTGAAATGGTCCAAACTTGGGGGGGGGGGGGGGGGGGGGGGGGGGGGGGGGGGGAGAGAGGAGATATAATTTTTTAAAAAGCATCCCAAAACGAAGGCCCGACTGTGCTACCACTGTAATATGTAAGCGCCCCAGCCTATGGTACCCACAGGAATCTCACCCGCAGTAAACGTCCTCTGCGCCTATCCACAAATACTCCTCAAAGCAGGATTGACCCTACAAGAGCCTCTCGCAACACCAGGAGTGCAACTGCTCAAAGCACCCTAGAAACTGCCCTGCTCCATGTGCTCTGGAACAACACCCCGCGGGATCCCCGAATATAAATCGGTCTTAAATCCTCAATCCCCCCAACACAGAAAAAATAATAATCAGAACAGAACGTGACCCACGTACGTGTGGAGGCAATGCCCTCACAATCCATCCGCTTAACGCACACTTGCACCCAAGAAAAGACGAACAAACAAGCACTCCATCACCATTTCCAGTATAGACTTCGACCCAGCCACACACAAAAGGCCGACATCAATCACCAGCTCTAAAGCCCTCTAAACCTTAAATCACCACTACCTCCGAGCCTCTTTTTGCCACTGCGGAAAAGGGAAAAGAACTGCGTGCCAAGCTTTGCCCAAGTGCCAGCGCCACGGTTCTTTTCCCTTTTGGCTGGCCCCACCAGCCGTTGTGGTCCCGTAGCACTGTTCATCCACAGAACCCGGAATGTTACCGTTTTTACTGCCAGGAGTCGGGACAGTGGTAGTTTAACCACCACCGTTCGTTCCTACTGAGAACAGTTCATAGATGAGTCTCACCAACACAAACAAATTGCACACTGCAGGAATATGCATTCACTCCATAGGCCATTCATTCACACAAGAGGCCGTCTGTGTGTGTGTGGTGGATCTGCTAAACAGAACTCCTCGAAAAAGAGTGACTTTGACAGACTGTTTCGTCGGACTTTCACCGACTCATCAGGAGGTTGAACCTCGACAGTCTGCAGTGTATGCATTTCACCAACGGATACATACTCACCACCTTACCCAAGCATCAGGCACTCACACACCCGTCTGCTTGTGTGTGTATGCGAGTGTGCGTGTGCGTGTGTGTGTGTGTGTGTGTGTGTGCTGTCTCTTATACACATCTAGATGTGTATAAGAGACAGGCGCAGTACAGCTTCCATCTCAGATCTGAAAAAAAATTATTGGATGCCACTGGATGGCTGTTTTCTGACTGGCCAGCAGACCGCCAACCGGTCGGCCCTACTGGTCGGCTGCAATACGGTCGGCGGTCGGGGTAGGCGGTCGGCGGGTATGCAACCCTGATTCAGAACAAAAAAAGAATGTGAAGCAAGGTAAAGACGTGAGGTAAGACCAAGGAAAACCAAAGCAAAGAACATGCAACCAAGAGGGAAAAACAAACTAGCAGTTGGAATGACAACGAGGGGAAGACAAACCAGAAATAAAATGCAAAAAATAGACAAATGAAAAACCAAGCGATTGATTGATGGTCATGATATGATGGGCTTTCCCCGCCTGGATGCCACAGCGGTGCTTCATTTCTACAATGCCATACTTGCGACGGGAGGGGGGGCTCTTCCGGACTCAGCAAACAGTATTAGTGCCCTACTCGCCAAGGTCAGCAGACCACAGCGGTACACTCTCCACGGCAGAAACAGCCACCAAGAATGACAATGTTCTTTTTCTTTCCAATCTACGTGACAAGCAGAATAAAATTATAGAAGTTCCCGTTCAGGTGCATTCATTAAAACCTGAACAAATTGGAATATCAAGCGTGGACGTGAAGCAACATTACAACGTCTACCAGGAAGCATGTCCCCTCTTACCTTACTTCACATTCTTCAGTCATTTGCCGTTTATCACCAATGATTCGGTCGCCCGCCTGCTGATCTTTGTCATCAGGACATACTTTCCCGCTCATCTTTGCATCTGCAAGAAGGTCCATTCTCAGGAGACTCACTGCCTCTAGCTCGTGCCCTGCTTCAGACGAGGACAATCCTTCCGGCCCTGTTCCTGGTGTTGCTGCTTTAGTCTTGGGACCAGATGTCCTGCCCAACAGTTGCTTGCCAATTGGATCAACGGACATAGAACTTCCAGTTTCAGCCATGCCAATAGCGAGACCCCAGTTGCCCTTTTCATCTTCTCTGCCATCACCAATACCACCTGGTGCCGGAACGGGGATGAGGCCATTTCTGCTGCCTGCCAGCATATGAGTGCCTCCACCAGTCTCTGTGCGATCTGCACTCCGCGTAACCTCCCTTCCATTTCCTCCAGCAATACCTCCTCCTCCTCCTCCTCCTCCTCCTCCTCCTCCTGCTGCTGCTGCTGCTCCTCCTTGTTGCACTGCACTCCCCTGCCTGCATTCAGCCTTTGCACGCACTGAGTCAGTGGCTAAAACAAGATCTGTAAGAACTGCATCATGCATTGAATGGTCATCGTTAGTTTCCCGTGCCTTTGCATCCTTCGGACCTGGTGACGTTCCCTCCTCTGAAGCCCACTTGCTTCCCACAATCCAGTCCCTTGTTCTCCACAAACTGCAATTGTCTGTTCCCCCTCCTCCAACATGGCTAACAGTGCCGTCCGCTCGTCCTTCCAACGTCCGGATACGCACTTGTGATCCCTCCACTGCACCACTGCCTCTGCCATCTGCTGACATAATGGGCGCCTCAACTTGTGTGACAACCATAGCACCTGGACTTGTCAGGGAATAGCCATCAGCACATCTGCAAAGAGGGAACATGGCCACAGATTGTCAGCATTTCAAACACACCCACAACCGGAGAACAGAAGGGAGAAGAAGACATCAAAATATGCAATGGCATTATGACAGATAGAACTATGTCCTCTCTCCACTCAAATAACCTCCCCCTCCTGTCCACACATCCCATTGTTCATGCAGGTACACACATAGCACGCATACCGCAGGATGTACCTGCATGCTACGCGTACAACACGTACTACGCCATGTATCCGGATACTGCACGTACAACGCCCATTTTTGGAGAGAAAGTTTCAGTAAAAAAATTCTTCGCCTTTTTTGGGGGGTCCTTGTGCAGATGCTGAGTACTACCCACATGCGGAGTTTCAAGTCAAAACTCCGATGTGCAAAACACTGCCGAAAGTACTCCATACTACCCCTGAACTACTTTTATGTGGTGCATTGTGGTCTATAAATGCGCTGTGCCTAGTCCCTACTTAGTGCATTCAGAGTTGCCATGTATTCAGATACTACACGAGCAACGTCAATTTTGGGGGAGAAAATATAATTTTTTTCCCTTTTGGGGGGTCTTTGTGCAGGCGCCGAGACTACGGACATGCTGAGTTTCAAGTCAAAAGTGCGATGTGCAAAACACTGCCTAAAGTACTCTGTGGTCTATAAATGCCCTGTGCCTACTCCATACCTAATGGATTCAGAGCCTATACATAGTCTAGTCTATAGTCTATGCATAGTCCAGAGATACTGTAGTCTATAGTCATCTATACCTACTCTACACCATGTATAAATAGTCTACACACTATAGATTGTCTATAATACTCTATATACTATAGATAGTCTATACACTATAGATAGTCTATACGTTTTTTGGTCTTAGCACATGAGAGCAAATGATCAGCACAGTGTTCCAGTCATCTTCCAGAAACCACCCATTGAACGGCGCTCCTGCAAACTTTTGCCTCAAAAGGAGTCTCTCTAAGCATCAATGAACCAAGCTGGATTCCTCTAAAGCTGGCTTAGTTAGAGGAAGAAAACCAGACGATCCACTAGGTAGTGCAGAGTACCCATGACAAACGAAGGTTCATCAGATCCAAACAAGGTAATCCTCTCAGAATGGGCAAGGCAGTCAATAATCTGCCTGCCGGTGCATGTGAGTCTTGGCCTTCATTATCTGATTACAGACTTTCAGAATCAGACCGTGAATTTTGTTTCAAACAGTACTGAACCCGACAGATCTGTCCGAGCCCAACTAGCAATGAGGGAATCAGCAGGTAGTGGGGCAGTAAAGTCGTGCTCCACAACTAAACGGTGGTGTGCCAATCGTCGGGCAGAGAGAAAGATAGTAAGCTTATGTGATGATGTCCGAGCGCTGTTCCCAAAATCTTCTTTCTAGTTTAGGTATAGAGACCAAATAATGACCTGCACAGTCTGGTGATCTCTCTTCTTCCATCTGTCAGTTTATGGATGACGGGAGCAACTCAGCTCGAGGACTGAACCATAACGCTCCTAGACAACACATGTTGGACATTCCTTGGATGCACCTGACATCCAAGCTGAGTTGATCACCGGTCACCGAGTAATGCGTTCTCAACTGTGTCCTGCATCTCCTGGGAGAGCACAGGTCATCCTCAACAACCCAGATGAACCATGACATAACACTGTTCAAACAAAATACAAATAAAGCAACGCAGAGACAGAAACAAATGATACGAGAAATAAAAAATAAGAAGAAGATTGTATAGTCTAAACTGCTCCTGGGTTCGAAGTGATGCCTGGCACCCAAGGTGCGACCTTGGCCACCCAAAAAACGTGAGCTGACGCCTGCCAGCCAAGGTGCGGCCTTGGCCACCAAAAACACGTGTCCTGGTCCTTGGCCAAACGTCCCCAGCATGCCATACTCCCCTGTCCTTATCACTGACTTTCAGACCCACAATCAAGCAGAGGGATCTTTCACCAATCGATGCATTCATGTGGCACACACAACGGTCTATGACACCTACAGATTATGCCCACCCGTGGATTACATGCCAACTTCTTTCCTCTCTTCTCTCATGAACCACAACCTCCCAAGTCTTTAACCAAATTTGTTCCACTGATTTCTGTTTCACTTCTGCCACTCAGGGCTGTGCATGGATAGAGCATGCTCAGATTCGCCATGAAGTTACATGACACACAATTGCAAATAATAACATCAGACGTAGTGCATGGACATTATCAAGCGCAAGCTCAGCTGGTTCTTTCAGCCTCTCGCCGAAAAAGGGGCCGGGTCTGATCAGGCCCTTACCATGCACACCCTTACCACCATACGGGTTCAGACGCAAAATGGATGACCATGCAACCAGGCATAGAAGTGGTCATGTTCTCTTTCATTTCACCATCCAAGACGGGAGATAAGTTGGACAACACTATGGTCCTGGCTCCATATCCATTCTGCGGAGCGTCAGTCCGGTTCCTTTTCCACCGGTAAGTCAAAAGAGTACGACGATACACATACGCTTCCTTCCGTCCAGCTGAAGGACCCCTGTACAGCATTGATTACTCCATTTTATGGAGGATTGACTGTCAGCTTGCCCTTGTACCCAAAGTCCTCTCAGGCTGGGGGTGACCCCCTGCTGTCAGATCTACGTAAGGTGTAGGGCTCATTTCTAAGAATGCGTAAGTTCGAAATTTGAACTGCAGTAGTGACTTATGAAACCGTTTTCACCTTTTTGCAGTCTCAGATGCGGGCCCTACAGTTCGATCCCCAGACCTCACCTTACCAATGTACAGTATCGAGTCAACCCTCGAGTGTTTGAACCCGAGACCTGTATTTTGGTAGTTGTTTGTTGTTTGTCGTAGGTCTGTGTAGTTGTAGGGGTTCGATCTGTAGGTCTGTCGAGTAGGGGTCACAGCTCTGTAGAGGCCGTAGCTGTAGATGTCCTGAAAGGTCAAGGTTGTAGCTGCTACAGTCCTGAAAGGTCAAGGTCGTAGCTGCTACAGTACTCGAAAGGCCAAGTCCGCAGACCTCCGGTCCGGAAGTGGCTTTTCGAAGTTGTCTCACGTTTAGCCAGAGGCAATTGGGCAAGTGGTAAACCCAACTGCACTGAGTCGCAGGTCCAACTGCGTTGAGTCGGCAGTGCAACCTCGTGCAGTCGAAGTTGCCAGTCCCAGTCCTGCCGAGTTCGGTCCAGCAAGTACCGTGTGGGACTCTATGCACATCCAGGGCCTGGGGGAAAGGGGCAGACAAGCGGCAAACAGAACTATAAATCAAGAGCAGCGCCCAGCAATTCATTCATTCGCGTAAGCCATGCGGAAGCGCTGCTACAGCGTCTTGTGCGAAGGTGGTCTGGATGTTGCCCGAAGATGAAGTGGGCTGTAGAGAGAGATCGCAACCATAGTCAGTAGAGGTAGGGCGGCCATAGCCGCTATAGGAGGAAGTTAGACTTAGTGTGTGTGTGTGGTGGTATTCAGGGTGATCCAGAGTGAGCGTGTGTGAACAGTGGGGTTGGACACAGTGACGAAGGTTGGGATGTACAGGCGCCGAAGCGCCATGGACTGTTGAAGTGAACCTGCATCTGAACTGTGTTCTCGATTTCCATATCTCTAAGCTTTGAGAGGGCGCCCTGCGCCAGTGTGTATCTCCATCTGTGTGCATGTATGCGAAGTGGAAGTGACAGCGAGTCTGATTGCACTTATCTATGAACAACTAAAATACCATCAGGCCCACACCTCATTCTCTTTGGATGACGCCAAGTTCCACCATGCTTCAACCAGCCCAGTCACAGTCTGCAATAGATGGCATCAGACAGTCTAATGCAGGGAGCAACATAGACAATCAAACTACATGCAAGAAGTATATGCACTCACAGACAATATCAACTAAGGAAGCAGGAGATTTCCAACGTTTGGAAGGCACGAGAGGTCCTTGAGACTCAACATGGGAAGGAGCAGCCAAGTGTTTCAGGCTAGAATTCTGTCCATCCCAGTGGGAAGAAGGATGTGTCTGTGCTTTCTGTTTTATGACTCGTCAGTGGAAGAACAGGCACACACACAGAGGGAGTCGGAGGTCGAGAGAGAGAGAGAGGGGTGAGGGGAAGGGAGAGAGTGACAGAGAGCGAGAGAGGGGGGAGGGGAAGGGAGAGAGCGACACAAAGCGATAGAGAGTCCGAGGCCCACGATACACACACACACACACACACACACACACACACACACACACACACACACACATACACACACACACAGCACATTGAAGAGAGAGAGAGAAAGGTGTATGAAAAACTACAGAGAGAGAGAGAGAAGGTGCTGACGTCTGGCCTGTGGGAACCACATAAAAACTGCAGCTTCCAACCTCAACCGTAGGATTGTGATTTGCGCCTCGACAACC